TGGCGCAGCACAAAACACAGCGTGTGCGGCAGGCTTAAAGCCTTAATAGAGGGACGTGCTTAATAGCGGGGCAGGCTTAATAGCGGGACGTGCAGAGCTCCTGCTAAAGTTGTCCGCAAAAATGCGGTAAATAGGGTGCGACTTTAGCGAACGGAGGTTCGTGAGACGCGTCCTAGCTAGCTCCGCTATTTAGCGGACAACTCGGGAATACTGGCAGGTCCAACAAATCAGTAAAAATAAAAATAATGTTTAATAAATCGTATTGCACCCTAACTCTCCTACCTGCGGTAAACAACTCGATCCTCATTGCAAAAGAAAAGCCTAACGTCGGCGCGAATGCTGACTCTCTGCACTACGCTGCGTACTCCCTATACATAATCCCTATATACCCTATATACCCCATATCCCTATATACTATTATTATATGCCCCTTATATTTATTATATCCCCTAACCCCATAATCCCCATGATTATGTATGGGGAGTACGCATCGTAGTGCCAGAGCATATAAATCACCGCATATATATCAGAGCATATATAATAAATGGTGATTTATATGCTCTGGTAGTGCCGATTGTTCAGTCAGCAATTCGGCAACAAATATAAAACTTTGATATTCCAGCGACGAGTTTCTGGCGTCAAAATCGTCATCGCCATGCAGCGCACACGTGGCGGGCGATCTCTCGGCGATTCTGTCGCCGGCAACGAGCTTATAGCTCACAGCTTTATATCTTTATAGCTTATATAGCTTCATAGTTATTATAGCTTTATAGCTTATAAGCTTAATTTTTAATTTTGCTCCAAAATCTAGGGGAGCAGCTGCCCCATTGCCCTTGCCACCGGCTACGGCCCTGCTAATACTATATCTACTATAGAATGACATCACTTAGAACATGTTCTAATCTCTCAACTAGTTGAGCATCAACCTTTGTGTTTGCACTGTCGACTTTTATTCGAAAAGTTTATTAATTTACTCAACTCGTCAACGTTTCAACTAAAAGTTGACAGTGCAAACCCAGCGTTACTTGTACGTGTGACAGAATTCGCCGTTCGATCTGCATCTCATCTTATTTGCTAATTTTCAGATTTGTTTCGTTGATGATAGCGGTGACCTAAAAACTCTGCAAGATGAATACCGGTTTAACAACAATGACATTCAACGATTAAAACCAAGGTGAGTGATATTCAAGTATATACACTTAAGCTCATGTACGCATGCTAGCACGCACGCGGGCACCTATATGAACACGCGCACCACTCACTCAAATACGCGTGCGCACACACGCACACATCTATGCCTACGTAAAAACACCCGCACTCACCCATACAGATATGTACACGAGCCTGATGGCAATCCGCACGCGCGGTTGCGATTACGAACACAATTAAAGCCATGACTTCCTAAATACGTATGATAGCGGTAATTCTTGTGATAGCTTTGCGCAGCGGGTTCCACTGCGCGTTAACCATACTTCGTCCATGAAGTTTCTCTACTATAAAAAATATTAAATCACAAATCTATACATAGAGTAATAGCTGATACACATCTTGCTATTAGGATAGAATTATAATGAGGATTCATTACATAGGCATGGCAACGCTGAGACCTTTTATGTACCTTCTCACGCATATTCTTTTGTGAAACATAATCAATTATTAAATCATCATCTTTTATCGAAATTCTCGTAAATCAACACGTTGTTGGCTGGCAGCTCAGCGACGCGTTTGGAATGATTCAGTATTGCTGTGCATATATCGTGTCGCATGTCTTGCTTTTTTGTTTTATAGTCAGTTTATCATACCGGGCTTTATTGATAGCCACGTACACGCGGCGCAATATTATAACACTGGCTGCAGTCCCAGGTTAAAGCTGCTCGACTGGCTCCAGGCTTTCACCTTCCCATTAGAAGCGAAGTTCTCCGATACGGACTTTGCACAGGCCGCATACACGAAAGCAGTGGTAAGCGCATCTGTCATGCGGCTAGGTTTGCCATACCAACTCACGTAAACGAAGTTAACTTATGATAACATGGCCCGTGACTGTATATGCTGCAAGAATGTTTAGTGGGGTAGATGTTCGCGCCTTAGTCAATTACGTGGAGGAATGTACATCATCGCGACTGTTTGGCACCTTAAAAGAGCCATAATTTAACCGCGGTAAAATTATAGCCCTTTTAACCAATTAGAGGCTTTGTAACACATAATTTAACCGCGGAGAAATTATTTTTACGGCGGCTAAATTATGTGTTACAAGGCCTCTGATTGGGTAAAAAGGGCCAAAATAATTATTTTTGAGAACGATGGCCAACCATAGACGCACACTTGCAGAGATGCGCTATCGAATGCAATTAAAATTAATTGCTACTGAGATGGTCTTCTTACTAACTTTCGTAGGCGTGGATGAATATATTTACAAACCCTAAAGATTACACGTTATGCCATCAAACGCAATAGCGATCCCAACGATCTGGGCGTGAGAATGAAGCATACAGTAAGGTTA